CTGAGTGCTTTCTTTTAGTATTAATTAGTACTGTGATACATTTGACCAATTTTGCAAAAGAAAAAAAACACATTGAGGCAGAACAGTTTCTACAAGCAACTGAAGTGAAAGTTGTTCATACTCTATTTTAACTCGTTAGTTAATTTTTCAAAAAAGGTTTTAAGTACCTTAAATTATATGTGAGTACAAGTTAAGTACAAATTATATGTGACAGTATTTTCCTTTACAGTGGATGGTTTAGCACATGTTATGACACAGTTGTCTTTTATGCTGAAAGAAGAATCTAAATCTTCCTCAGTACAGAAATGGTTTATTAACAAAAACTAGGATATACTATTTAGTCATTATTGTTATAATTATACATTTTTTTCTTTATTGCCTATAATTAGTACAAACTATAAGCCAAAAACTCAGGCAGGCTAAAGATATAATTTTATTTTTCTAAAGCTTGCTTAATTTCTATTATATACAACCTGTAACTGAGTTAAAGCATATCTTCCCCACCCCCCCAAATTCATGTCCATCTGGAATTGTGAGTGTGACCTTATTTGAAAATAGGGTCTTTACAGATGTAATCAACTTAAGGTGAGGTCATACTGGCTTTGAGTGGTCCCTAATAAGAGGAGGGAAATGTGAATGCAAACAGGAGAAACGTGAAAGTGGAGGTGAGATGAGGGCGATGCATCTACATGGAAGGTCTAGGATTGCTGGCAACCATCAGAAGTTGCGAGCAAGGAAAGAGGAAGGAAGAGGCAAGGAAAAATTCTTCCCTAGATACTTGGGCCCTGCTGACATCTGAAATGTAGACTTTTAACCTACAGAACTGTGAGAAAATGAACTTTTATTGTTTTAAGTTACCCAGTTTGTGGTGATTTATTATGGCAACCCTAGGAATCTAATCTAAAGCCCCCTTTTAAATTGGAGTATCAGAAAATGAACCTCATAAAATCTGGGGACTCTGTCTTCTTTCTCTAGAGTTCCTGTAAGTGCAGCAAGATGTGATGTTGATAGGGGGTGACCATCAGCTTCTTAACAGCACCAAGCAACAATGGCATGTCTAAGCTGTCTCCCAGCAGCTGGTCCACCATCAGGGTTTCTCTGGCTGCTGCAGAGATGACCTTTGCTCCCATCTATATGGCCCCTTTGGTCTGCCATTTTCCCTACTATTTCCGGGCCACTCCTGAGTGACCAGAAATTATTCTGCTGCTCTCATTTCATACTGTGGTTTATGTAGATATGCTTTGCAACTATTTGTTCTCTGGCATAATGATGCCTCCCAATACTTTACTAGGACAATAGACTGCAAACCTCCTCTGCTCTTGAACCTTTGCTCACAAACCTATCCAGGAGGGTGTTGCCACCTTTTAAGGACTTGGCCCAAGGAATGGCTCAGAGTCTGTTACTGATGCATTTCTCATTGTTTCCTATCTGTCACTATTTCTGTCACTAAGATTGGGGAATATTTTTCAAGCCTTGTTCTGAAGATGGGATTTGGGGAAGCAGGCAAATTCTTGCTTACTCATACTGCTTAATTTGAGATCTTTTGTCTATGTCTTGATTCATTTCTGTTCTCCTAAATGGCCTAAGTCAGTGATTCTCAACGGCAGGTAACTTTACCACCCCCACCCCAGGGGTCATGTAGCAATGTCTAGAAATATGTTTAGGTGTCACAACTGGGGAGCAAGAGGGGTGCTACTGGTATCTAGTGCTAAATATCCTGTAATACAGAGGATAGCCCCTATAAAAAGGAATTACTGGCACAAAGAATATCCATAGTACCACTGTTGAGAAACCTAGGCCTAGGAAACAGAAAGAGTCAGAAAGGTATGTCCTTTCCTACTTTGCTTTCTACCATTATATTCCTCTCTTGAGTTAATGAACAAGATGTTGTACTTTTGAATGGAGAAAGAATATAGTGAAAAGGAAATACTGGGTGGGGAAAACTGATTATTATCTCAAAATTGTTCTGCCTGTACTAGGGAATGGTATTTAAAAATCCTTCCAAATTCCTCTTACACATAAATTATTTATATTAAAATATAAAATATAGCATTAGGAGTTATCTGAGACTTCTGAATTGGCTAGTAAGCCAAACTACCTAATGTTGGTGGGGAAAAATATCCACTTTGGAGCTCAAATTTCTTGATAAACTATCTAGAAGACCCAGATGACTTAGGCAAGTGCATATTTTAGCTGACTCATGCCAGACTGTGAAGAACATTGGACTGACAATGTGTACACATGGATTCCTGTCTTGTTTCTCTTACCAGCTGCTTGATCAGGCAGTTTCACTTTGCTGGCCCTCAATTTTCTCATGTGTTAGAAGTTTAAACTAGATTATCTCTGTAATTCCTTCCACTGATATTTTTCCCCTTATAATTTAGGACCAGACTGTGAACAGAAATAATTTTTCATATATAGATTCTTAAGTCGTCTGTTTTCATGCCATTCTTTGGAAATGCATAGGAGATTACTAGTTGTCCAACAAAATTTGTTTTCTTCTTTTATGTGCCCAGTAATTAGAGTAAAAGAAAAGCTGCTGCTCTTAAGAGACCCACCAATACAGTGATTTTTGTAAAATGAGGCTAGACCACATTTCCCACATTCCCTTGCATTTGGGTTTGATTAGGTTCTCAGTAATAGAATGCCTGTCTAAACTCTTATCCTGGTCCTGAAGGCAGTGCATGTGCCTCTTCGTGCTTTCCCTTTTCCTCCAGCTAGAATCCCTGGTGATCCAGCTGCAACTGCGCAGGCAGCACAGAGGCTCTTGGGGATGGTGGGACAATAGGAAGAAGGAATCTGAAGCCTCAAATGACAGGGTGGAGCAGAACTGCCCCACCAAATTGGACTGTTCACCTCAAAGCTGTTTGATGAAAGACACAAACTTTTTCTTTGAAGTCACTGTATTGTTAGTTTTTTTTTTATTTTAGCATCATAGCCTTTTATCATAACAAGTAGAGAATTCTCCACATAATGACAGCAAATGTAAAGAAAAGCATGCATTCTGGTATACTCAGTATGAGGCTCTAGTGTTGACTCTTAACACCTCATTACTAAATATAAGTGAAATGTTTTAGAGCAAGAAGAGGATAGGGACAAGATTATGTCTGTCTTGTTTATTATCTTTTTTTTCTCACTGTTTTCTCTTGTAATTCTGTAGTAAGTTCCAATTCTCATAATCCACTTTGAGTTGGTCTTTTTTGCCTTAGGCATGACCTCTGCTTTCAGAGAATGATCAGTTTATCTGTCTGCAATGGCTCAAATTTTAGACTGAATGTATTTCCTGCTGCTTTATTCTTCTTACAGCTCTTTCTCCTCTGGCCTTTTGCATGCTAGAATGTTGGGTCATGTGGCTATCTTCCCACCTATCTATGCAAACTGTCGACTGCACCATTTGAAAGGAGCACTGAAAAGACCTTCCTTTTATGCTACAGGAAGGTAGAAGCAGTGGTAGAAGGGAGTGGTAGTTTAGATAGTCTTGGCTTTTATTGGAAAGGCAACTTCTTGCCAGTATTCTGCTCAAAAAAATCACTACTTTTTAGAAAATATTCTCACTGGCTATTTTTATTGTGACTCATTTTTAAGTTACAGTAACTATTAATTACTAATTGTACTTAATAGTATTAGTTCAGATATTAACCTAATTTTTAACTCTGAGATATTTTCATGTTAAATGACAATTTCATTTGTTTTAACTGTGCAAATAGAAACTATTTCATTGGGATAGATATTAATTTAATTATAAGATCATGAAGATGAGAAAGACTTCATATTGAATATTCAATTTTATGTATGTTGGAATGTGAACAACTATGTTAATCTTTCTCCTATTGATTTTTTTCCTCTCTTAAAAGGCAAAGCTGATTAGCTGAACTGATCTAATTGGTAATAGATTTGATCATTTTATCAAACTTTCTTTTTAGTTTCTTTAAGTGGGCTCATCTTATATATTTGGTGTAGGACAGCTTGCAGTATGGTTGTGATTAGAAATTAAAATCCTAGGTGATTAAGGAGATTTGGGTTAGAATATTAATTCACTAACATTTTTAAATGAATCAGGGATATAACTTCCCTAATAATTTTAAATTGGTTTTTTGGAAAGAAAACTTGTTTGCAAGTTTTAATCTTGGTCTTAGTTCATGCAGGCCTACAGAACATACAGATTTTGATTTCTCCAGTGACAAAATGGGAGTTTAAATCCATAATTGCTATGACTTGATTGGGATTTCAATAGGCGACCCACCTTTATTCTGCTGTGCTGGTAGGCAGCTGTGGATCATTTCACAGGAAGAAAATCCCTGCTAGGGAACTTTTTGGAGTTGATGGATTTGCTCTGTGTGCTCCCTCTGTTTTGATACACTGAGCAAAGAATGTTGATGAGACATGAGGCAGAACAGCTTGTTCCTCCACAGCTATTTTGACTTTGCAATACTGGCAGTAGTGGAAAAAAAAAAGTTTAGTGTGTTAAGCTAAGCAAACACATGGGGCTTGGAAGAAGGCTAGGGAACAGCTAGTCTATTCTTGGTATCAAGAACCCTATTGCTTAGGAACTTTTAATTCCAGTTCATGAATGCATAGTACTTGGAGTTCTACTTTTCTCTAGATGTCCTTTGTCTCTGGGGGTGTTAATAGGAACAAATGGTGTTGCTAATAAGTAAAATTCAAGTTGTGTTTAATAATCAAATTTTAGTTCAAGGAGAATGACTTAGCAGAAGAGATACCTCAAAGGATTCAGAATGTGATTATGGAAACCAAATGAGTTAAAATAATAACCCATACTAGTTTAGGTATTAATAAATACAGATTATCCTGAAGAAATGGAAAATATCAGTTAAGGGGGTTGGTTTACTAGAGGCACTCTTAGGGATTTTAAAAGAAGAATGCGAATTATAAGCTTGAGTTTTGTGAGTTATCATTGCTGTTTTTCACGGAAGTGACAGTATGCCAACTTTGAGCCAAGGCTGTAAGAGGAATAGCAAGTTTGTATTGGTCTCTCTTAGGCTCCTGCAATCTGCATGAGAAGAACATGCCATAGGCAGCCAGTGGGACTTCTTTTTCCTGGTCCCAGGATCACATACAAGAAACCAACCTGATCATGGGCCACCCTGCGTGCAACTGAGCCCAGCCAATTCACTGCTGATCTGCAGACTAATGAGGTACAAATAAATGTTCTTTGTTTTAACCATTGAAATTTGGTGGTTATACAGCATTATTGCAGCAAAACCTGACTAAAACACCTTTATTAGAGGTCTCTAATTTTAGTCTGTTGGTATGTGAGAACCAGAGTGTATCTGACACAGATCGTACGTTCTGCCTCACATTCCCTAAGCCTGCATGTTTCCCAGGCCATGCAACCAGTTGTTTGACAGTGATGCACACTGTCACTGTCTATGGTTGCTGCAGTGCAGTCAGTTTTACTGGCTACAACTTGGAGGTTCTGACTCCTCTCGTCACTTTTAGACTTGAAAGAAATCCCATAATACAGGTGGGGGGGGGGGCAGTATCTGGGATCTTACGTGCCATCTAAAGGGCTCAAAAACACAACCCAAAAGTGTGATGTGTGGTTCCCATGGAGCCAGCTTTGACCAATGGGAAACTGAAGATGGGAGGGAGAAAATAAATACTCCTGTGCCCTTCCTCCTCCTTCTCATGGGCGAGTCCAACCACACAGCCGTGTAGCTCATCGGAAGAAGCCGTGTGTGGCTAAGCAGATACTTCTGCGGAAGGATCTGTTGTGTTTTTCATGACTCCTTGTGAAGCAGTAGCCAGCAGGGTAACATGTCATTTTGCATGGCTTCCTGTCCTTCCTTGCCTCATTTCCTTTGTCCCTCACTTTTACTGCCCTGTTTTTTATATCCTTAGAGAAAATACCAGCACTTAATCTTGACGCAGGCTCTGTTTTCTGGAGAACCCAAGCTAAGACATAGACCCAGACAGATCATGGCATGATGAAGATGATAAAAATGGTGATTATGATGATGTCCCCCAATACTTATTGATGACCACTTACTAGGTATCAAGCAATATGCTGATGACTTTGAATTCACTTTATTTAATATTCACTATGACTCATAAACTGGCTAATATTATTACTTCATTTTATAGAGGAGGAAATCAGAACTTAGAGTGGTTTGATTAGTTGTCTAAGATCACATAGCAAGTAGAGGCAGAATATAAATTCAGATATTTTTGATGTTATATTTTATGAGTTAAACAATTAACACAAATTAACTGCAGAGTAGGTAATGGGTGCCAAATTGCTATAAGTGCTATATATGTGCTAGAGTATGGTCCAGAGTACCTACATACAATATATTACATATAGTGGGTGTTCAATATGTAATTTCTTGATTTTGTAAATAATTTATTAATCTCCATTTACTAATAATATTCTGACAAATCTGGAAATATTCTACATTGTATTCATGGATTTTCAGTATTTAAAAATTAGACTGAAAGAACCATGTTGAACAACAAAACATAGTCTGAATCAAAAGAACTTGTAAAATTTTGTAGGGCTAGAGAATTACCTTCAGGTAATTTTTGAAAATAGTGTTACTTATTTGAACTTTAAGTATTTGGGATAAAAGGTATTTATTACAGTAGTAATTGTAATCCTTTTTTGTTTTAACCCTCCTTGTTGTTTCATAGAGGCAGCTCACTGTATAGAAAAATAGAGGACTAAAAATAGGTGGACTTGAATGCGCCCTTGAGTTTTCCACCAATAGCCTTATGATTTTGGGAAAGTCAGCCTGGGCTTGGGCTTCAGATACATCATCTATAAAATGCAAAGTTTGTTGAAGAGTATTTTCAGCTCTGGCTAACATTGTGATTTTCCTGAAGTTATTGG